AACAATTTTTTTTTGCTCTGTAACTTTGCACCCAAAGCACAATGAAATAAATAAATGAGTCCAAACAATGAAAAAGAAAGATCTGTATAAATCAACATCATTGTAGGTCTATAACCCTCAATCTGAGTTGTTCAATTCTGTAAGTTCTTTCAATACATAACAACAAGCCAAAAATAGAAAAACTGAAAACATTTTATTTGTTTTATAATACTTTTATTTGTATTTACTATATCATTGCAGGCAAAATGCCTACTTCTAAAATTGTGTGTATGGAAAACCAGATTTTCAGTTGCTTCTACCATGTTATATTAAGAGTTAGTCAGCTGAGAATGCAGTTAGCTTTTCGATGATTATCAAGTATGTTGTTTGTTAGCCTAAAAATGTGGCATAGTGCTAAGGCATTTGCCTGCTAACTAGAAGGTTGGTAGTTCAAACCCACAAGCCACTCAGCAAAAGGAAGAATGTGCAATCTATTTCTGTAAAGATTTACCAGCTCAGAAACCCAAAGGGGGTCACTGTGAGTTGGAATCGACTCAATGGCAGTGAGTTTGGTTTTTATTTTGTTTTGAAGTAAAAAAATAAAAATAAAAATATGTAGAATTCATGAATGTGTGTGTAATAGCTAAAAACAACAGGTTGAATATGTAGATGATATAGTTGTGCCTTACGTAGTCTTAGATTACTACATTTAGAGTTTGAAACTTTCTTGGGCAATTGATTATTGGACACAAGCAAATCTGTATTACATCAATTATTATTAAATATTTCAAAATATTTACTTATTTAAACCATCAGAATGAGTAAAATACATGCTAAACTAAAAAAAAAATACTTGCTTATTTTACTAATTTTAATATGATTGTCCCTCTCTACTAAAGAACGGAGTGATTAAAAGAAGACTTTGTGAACTATTGTAATGTATCTGCAACTTAAAGAATACATGTCAATCAGAAATATAAACCAAAAAAAAAAAAAAAAAGACCCACTGCCATGGAAGCAAGTCCTACTCATAGCAACCCCCAATAGTTTTCCATAAAGGCTGTAAATCTTTATGGAAGCAGACGACCTCATCTTTCTTTCACAGAGTAGCTGGTGGGTTTGAACCACAGACCTTTTGGTTAGCAGTCAAATACCCTAACAACTATATCACTAGAGTTCCTTAATCAGCAATATGTTGTTGTTGTTGTTGTTGTTTGCCATCGAGTCGGCCCCGACTCATAGTGACCCCTCCTTGGGTTTCCGAGGCAGTATCACTACGGAAGTAGGATTGCCCAACCTTCCTTCCGAGGAGTGGCTGGTGGGTTTGAACCGCCAGCCTTCTGGTTAGCAGTCAAGTGCTTTAGCCACTATGCTACCAGAGCTCCTAATCAGCAATATAGACATGTTTAATTTTTTTGAACTAAAAATTATATTCTATATCATTTCTATATTTCTCTTTTATCCATTATGTATCATCAATAAAGAACAGATATTGTCATGAGAATTCTTCCTTTTCACAGTAATTTGATGTTTGATTAAGATAAATCTAGGGACATGTAAATACCTTATGTGGAAAGCACTGAAAATCACAGCAGAGAATCACTTCTAGGTAGGCAGAGATAGAACTGCAGACAGCTCTACAAAGGTCCAGCACAATCACTTACCTCCACACAATTTTTATCTGGCTGGAAAATTTGTGTTGGAAGTAACACTGGTAGCCCATTCCAGCTATTCAGTCTTCTGTTGCTCCTAGATGGTCAAGCTACACCAACATCTGCATCTGCTTAGAGTAAATACATTCAGAGTTCTTTCATTGACAGATAAACTTGAAAATTGAATTGAAAGAAAATAGTTCCAAAAGGTTAAAGAGATTCAATTATTTTTGGGAATGAGGTCGCCTGACTTTTTTTTTTAGGGTGATTCTAATATCCTCCAGCCCTGAGGCTCAAAGGCATGTGCAAGATTTCACACTTGCCCACCTAAAGTGGGTATGTCCTGGAGTGATTCGCCTCCAATTGAGCAACCACTTGAAAACGCTAAACAAATCTATGTGACTCATCAGCCCACTGACAAAATTTACTTTCTTAAAAAACAGATTGATTTGTTACAGCAAAGGACCCCTTTGTTAACCTTTCCTGTGGATGTACCTCTTTAGAACCCAACTTAGACCTAAAAATCCACTGTCACAGAGTTGACTCTGACTCATAGCAACCCCCTTTCCAAAGTCGTAATGTTTTACAGAAGGAGATGGCTCCACCTTCCTCCCATGGAGCAACTGGTGGGTTGGAACCTTTGACCTTCTGGTTAGCAGCCAAATGCCTATGTACTATGCCACCAGAAATCCTTAACTTAGACCTAGTAAGTGAGAAATTCATGACAAATATTCTTTCCACATCCTTGCCCTGACATATGTAAACTTTGCATGGAAGAATTTGTCATCCTAGAAAATACTGGAGAAGTTTGGAATTTATGCTAATAGGCTTGAAATGCTATATTTAAAAAGAAAACCAGGTATTAATATCATGATGCTCTTATCATTTTCTGTGGTGGTGTAGTGGTTAAGGCATTGGCTGCTAACCAAAAGGTTGGTGGTTCGAACCCATCAGGTGCTCAGCGGAAGAAGAATGAGACAATGTGCTTCTATAAAGATTTACAGCCTTGGAAGCCCAACTGGCTATGAGTCTGAATCGACTTGATTACAGTTAATTTGTTTGTTTTGTTTGTTTGTAGGTCACTATTAATACCTTAAGAATCCCTACTGGTCCAGTGGTTAAGTGGTCAGTTGCTAACTGAAAGGGTGGCGGTTGGAACCCATCAGCCACTCTGTGGGAAAACATGTGGATGTGAGCCTGCTTCCCTTAAGAATTACAGTCTTGAAAACCCCATGGGGCAGTTCTCTTCCATCTTATAGTGTCACCATGAGTTAGAATCGACTTGTCAGCAGTTGGTTTGGGTTTGGTGTAGATACCTCACTAATATAAATTATTGAAAAACCACTAAGTATTTTGAAGAACAACTTGGAAAAGTCTAAGTATGTTACTTAAAACAATCTAAACTCCTACTTCATATATAACAACATAGTTGCCATGCTGAACTTAGTTAATACATACATAAAATCCAAAAATGTCCACTACCATTGGTTCACTCTGATCAGTTCTATGCTCTTCTCTCTTTTAGTATGGACACTAGACTTCTGATATCATATGCATATACTGTAGACTAAAAACGGTATAATTTGTAGTATACAGAAAATCCATTAAAAAAAATAAGCTAAAATCATATGTCCAGATCTGTCTCACAAGATTTCCAGATATAAACTAAAAAAGAATACTGTTCTTTTTTTTTTTTTTTTTTGCAAGAGGTGCCTTAGAGTTCCTTTGAAAGCTTTTAAAAATACAGTCAAGTACATTTTATGTCCACAATTATAATAGCCACACAACTTTACTTGTCTTGGACAATTTATTGCGTTCACTTTCGGAAGGAATGGCAACAGATACAGAAATGATTCCCCAGACTACCTTCTTCTACTCAGCTTGGGAGTTAGTGGAAGACTGCCCTCTCTTCAACATCGTCCCTGATGAAAGGGATCTATTAAAAAAGAACTGCGTTGGTTTACACTGCAGACTGAACGGAGCATTAAATGACTGCATTAATATGACTGCAGTGGGGGTAATGGTAGCCTCCAGTGAGTGGGTATATAATGCTGTAATAATACTTTCATAAAGGTGGTATAATTCTTCAAGTGTGCTTATCTAATTTGTCACAAAATGTATGCAGTATCTTACCCGCAAATGCCCTCCCCACCTCCACTCATTTTACAGTTTTGTTCTTCTCGCTCTCAGCAAGTGTAAACAGATGAGGAAATATGTGTATTTTCAAACTGCCACCTATGTATCATGAAGGTGGAGGACTGCTGCACATCCTACCACTTGGAAACCACTCCTAGGAGGCGTTTAGCGATACCGCCCACCAATACAGCTCAGATGTGCTTAATCTGATTACCCTCCCCGTCCCCCACCCCAATCCCCGGGCAGTAATTTTCCAAGCAGTCATCTCTCATTTCCAAATAAAAGTTAAAATCAATCTACAGATACAAAATCTTGACTTGCTGTCACTCAGTTTTACAGGGTTTCTCTTTGTAGAGCTGAGAGTGAGAGAGGCAGAGAATATATCACTTGCTTCCCTGCTTCCTAAACAGGGATTTGCCTGCGAGGCGCGGCGAGAGGACTGCGGCGGCTGATTTACACAGTTGGCGCGGAGGAGGGGCCGGGAGGCGGGGGAGGGGGCGCGCTGGCGGAGGCTCCGGCGCCGGGCTCATCTGGGGGCTCCCGAGCGCCGCTCCCTCGGTGCTAGATTTGGGGGCGGTTGATGGATTTGCATTCGAGTTCCAGCCCCGCGTTTTGGATATTGCCTCCTAATACCCGACCTGGAGCTCCCAGTTTAGGAGCAGACGTTGGTAAGTAACGTGTAATCCGATTTTGGTTATTTCCTGGGCCATTAAAGTGGCACTTTTTAAGCAGGTCAGTCTCAAAAGATGCCGCCGCCGCCGCGAGCGTCTCCTTGGCCTGAAACGTTCCGGGTCCCTTCCCCCGCCCCCCTCCCTCTCCCTCTCCAGAAACAAGGGTGCTTGCTTGGTGAGCTGTCAGGGGGCTCACTCTGCCAACCAGATAGCTTCCCCTTCGTGTTTTGCCTGTGATCACACCCCAAATGCAAGTCGAATTTGGCGTGTACAGCCATACTGTTGTATATGAATCCTCTCTTCCTCTCTCTCTTTCCTGCCCCCACCTTCGCCGTCTGGCCAATGCTGGGATTTGGGGTCTCGTCGCCCCCTTCCTGACTCTCCCCACTTTCCTCTTCCCTCGTCTACACACCATCCACCCCCCACTCCCACCCACTCAAAGGACCAAGAGCAAAGATACCCGGGGAAGGCAAGGGTTCGTCCCATCTTGTCAGACCGAAGGATGCTTCGGGCAGGGATTGTGCTGTGAGTGACAACCTTTCAGGAAGAGAGACTAAGAGAGAAACCCAGAAACCAAGCCCAGGCTCTGGGAGACCTGAAAGCCTGCCGCTGAATCCGACAGCACTGAGATTTTAACTCAAACGAGCCCAGTCCTGGGACAGACACGCTGCCTACCTGCCATCGAGGACATATGGAGCTGTGGTCGTGAGCTCCTTGTCACTGGCATTGCCGCGCTAGGTGCGCGCCCGGCTCTCCCATTGGTATGCAGCTACCATTTCCCTGCAAGTCTCCAAGGTGGAAACACTTAAAAGGATTACAAGCGTGATTTGGTGGCCTTTCTGAAAGTTGGTGGCTGGAGGAGAAGCTGCAAGGCTACAGCATGATGGATACAATTCAGCCTCTCAGAGAGTTTATACCCCCTGCTGGGAAGCCCCTCGGAGCAAACCTCGGAGATCGTGAGCGCTCTGAAGCCATAGGTACTCTCTGCCATCCTTTTCTACTTTGCCTAATTGAAACCAGTATTTCTCGCTTGTAGGATGTGTATTGTAAAAAGCATGTAGTTTGGCTGCTGTCTTCTGTGCGCTCACAGGTGCCCAGGGATTGTTGTGTTTTCGAATTGTTAGCTATAAAGATGATGGTGGAAAGAGGGGTACTGGGGACTAACATGCCCTCGGACCTCCTTTGAGGGAGAGGGAATCATAAGTTACTCCAACAAATAGGCCAGGTGGTGGAGCGAAGGACCCCTCCCCCAGTGGATCGGCTGCTTCTTGTGCTGTCAGGAGGTAGAAGGAAATCGACTTGAGTTTTTTAATCATTTTCCGTTCTAAACAGACCAAGACCCATGGTGCGTTTAGCCTGGCGACGGCAGATTAAAAAAAGATCTGTAGAAGGCTCAAGGCTCTTCGGAAAATCAATGATGCAGCATTTTAATGATTTGTTCTAGGGGGAGATCTTTTTGCTTCCATATTGGAATATTTAATCTTTGTTCTGGAGAGATTAGAGGGCTCGGAAATCGGGCAATGGGGAGGGGGAGGCGGGAATGGGGCTCCGCGGGCAGAAAGGACTTCTTGTCCTCCCTGAACAAACAAATGGTCCTCAGCGCTTCCAGCAGAACAATGAAGAGACCCGGGTTCCACAGCTCTTGGCCCTCTAACTTTTGGAGCCCTCCGCACCCCTTAGATAGGCTGTCCTAGGATAAAGGAAAGGAGAAGGGAGAGAAAGCCTTTAGGACATGGCCGAGTCCAGAATTTAGGGGGTTGTAGCTTAAGAGAGAACAGAGACCGATTGCAGAGAGGGGCATGTACCATCACCGGAAAGCTCAGGGTAGCCTCCCGGTTACCCATCAATTCCATGGAATCATAGGTTTGATAAAAACTGGTGAAACAGTCCCTGCCTTTGCAGGTTGAGGGCAGAAGGAGGTGACGGTGTGGTCGCTGGGGAAGGAGATGAGGTTGTTCTGGTTTGGAGCTCAGTCGGTATTGCTTTGCTTCTTAGCTGAGACCTAGCTGAGAAATAGGGTGGGTCTAGAATACTGAGGATGTGGAATGTTAAAGAATCCTGTCTGCTTGCTTATTCTCTGATCACGGTTTCCAATCTTAGCTATTGTGGAGAGGCGCACACAACGTGCGGTCATTATAAATGCACACAGTATCATGCAACTCGTCCTATGAATGACTTCCAAGGAACGTTTTCTGGAGTTAGAGGATTTATATATTTTAGGGTGTTAAGATGTCGGCATATAAACTGTGCTTTTCTTTTAAATTTTGGTTTTGTAAAAAAATTTTAAAGTAAAATTGGTCTTTACTTGCTAACTTTGAGCCTTTGAGCAATTGATGTTGAGTCCAGTTCTTCGGCAGCGAGAAAGCCCCATCCCTCCCCCTTCTCCGTGAATTGGTGTCAGGATTGGTGTGCGGGGGTGGGAGGGGGACGCGAAAGGAGGGTGCATCGACCACGCACAGCACAGTCCCAGCTATCTAGACTCATTTGCTACTCACTTGACTCTCCCTAGTTTCTCCACAAAGCTGTATTTCTTCCCAGTAGATAGGAACATGAAACTATCAGTAGAGCCTTTAAAAACTCCTTGGAGGGTCGGGGTGAACTATGGTCTGGTGGCTCCTCTACACCGCAACATCTTCTCTCGGTCACCACCAGTACTCTCTTCTACCCTCCTCCTCAAAATATCCCGGAGAAACATTTGGAGGAAAAAAAAAAAAAAAAAAAATCCAAGCCCTGAAATTCTGCCCCCTATTCCTGAGAAGTCTTTCCTGATGGAAGAACGTGAAATGTATCATTGTAACCCAAGTGATCTGAGTCTCCTTACAGAGTGTTGGCTTGTCTTTTTTTTTTTTTTTTTTAATATAAATCTGAAAGCAAACACTGGGCTATTGAGTCTTGAATCCAAGGGAAATCGAAGGCTTTTAGCTGCAGCACAACAAAAAGACTCATGGTGCAAAGAGACCAACGCTAAATTCAGGGGAAACCCGGTCCTAGTCGCTCAGTCCGCCAGAGCTCTTACTCGGGACACCTGGGCAGAATCAGCCAGATTCAGCTCTACTGCTCTGGGGACCTGGGTTTCTCCTCATCTCGGTCTTTGGAGGGAAGGGTCTGTGCTGTGAAAAGGAAAAAAAAAAAAAAAAAAAAAAGAGAGAGAGAGAGAGAATACTGTCACTTTCCAATCCATCTGTTTAGAGAGAGAAGCTTTGGGAACTAGAGGCGCAAACTAGCCAAGGGGTGCTTTCTTACCTTGAGAGTTTAAAAAAAAAAAAAAATAATAATGTTTCCACTTCACCTCCACCTCCTTTCTCAAACACAAAGGAATGTTTCTTGTTGGTTGGTCTCTTCCTCCCTGTTTTTATATTTTGTCAATTTATGTTCTTACCTTCCTTCCTCCTGGCCCCCCCCCCCCCGCGCACGCCTGCGCGCGCGCGTACACACACACACACACACACACACACACACACACACACAGAAATTGTATAGTCAGGGCTTCCTAGTGCTCGCTCCCGACCTCATGCAAAGCGAGTTCCTCTTCTTGGAGCTCATTTTCATGACGTGGAAAGCCGGATCCAGGGTTACAGCACATATTATGAAAAAAAAAAAAAAAAAAAAAAAAAAAAAAAGGCAGCGCGAGAGATGTCCGAGATTCTGCACTGTGACTGAGACTTCCTCCTTCCCTGCCTTCCTCCCGCCCTTCCTCCCAGTGCCCAATGATGTTCTGCTGGTACCCAGACAGAGCAGCCGCGGAGGCGGTAGCAGAGCTGGAATCCTGCAGCAGCCCCTTTCTCCCTCCTCCATTGACTGTGCCAAGTGGCAGTTCTGCATCCTAAAGAAGCCCATTGAAGGGGCCATTGCATTCACCGCACGTTTTGAGCTTGCTGCTTTTTTCCCCCCCTCTTAGTCTTCTTCTCCCTCCACCCCCTTTGTATCCCCCTTTTGCTTCAGAGGGACAGGGAAAGAGCAAATACTTAAACTCAAGCTGCCCCCCACACACACACCAAATGTGCTTAAAAAAAAAAAAAAAAAAAAAAAATCTCCTGCAAAATAGGTAAGTCAAAGACATCTGGATCCTTTTTTTTGCCTAAACCTCAAGGACCTCAAAAACAAGAAAAATATATATTAAAAAAAATAGTGAAGAAGAAATAACTAAAGTGGATTTTAATATTTTACAAGGGAGACAGGGAAGACTAACTGATACTGCAATGTAGCTTCATCTGCCTTCTCGCTGTCTCTCTCTCTCTTTTCATTTAATTGTTTCTAAAAACTGACTATTACATGCCGGAGGCGGATTTTTATTTGCGTTCTCAAGGATTCCTTACAGCTGTGTGTGTTATATGTAAGTTGAATATGAAGATTTATTCTTTCTCACTGTCCCTATAAATTATAACATTTTGTTCTAGGTTAGAAGGTTGACAAGATATTTCCTTTATGTATATATCTCTGTGTAGAGAGAAAAGATATACTAAAATACCAGTTTATTTTTATTTATTAAAAGCATCTAACCAATTTTGATTGTTATGTCTGTCCATGACTCAAGGAGGTCAATCTAATAAAACTGCATTGTTATAATTTTTTATGTACATGTTCCCATGTACTGGTGATATTAGCAAAGGAAAGAAAGCAAAGCCATTGGGAAAGCCTCTCTATGTTAGAAGAGTGAACTACATATGTTTCTTATGATTGGAAAAGAATGATGTCTTTTTTTCAAATGTATTTCATGTGATATTCTCACTTATCAGCAGGTAAGAACCAAGGTTTCCATGTTTCCACCCTCTCTTTCCTTTACTCACATCTCCTTTAACCAGCTAACTGCCCTTCTAGCTTTTTACAGGGTCCGTAGTTGATCTTGAAGGTACAGACACACATTCCAATCTGAGCTCTGCCAGTATTTTAATACAGACACTCCCAGGCTCAGCATCCTTTAACTATCACTGTCTTTAGCTCTGACAATTGCATGGGCATGTTCTTTCAAACTGCTAATCATTCCTAAAGGCTTTTAAAGAACTAAATGATACAAATATGTAGAGGTTATTTATTTAATTAAAGGAGACTTCAATAATCTGTGCTTGGGTGAAGGGGGGTGGGTGGGAATATAATGTGTTACTGACTATATGCTATTATTAACTACTTTGTGATTATTTCCTAAGAATGACTTTGGTTTTCCTGAGATACCAATCATTTTACACATCTCAACAACTAAGATTAGGCAATGGGCTCATACTTTCTCATACTCTTTTATTAATAATTTTGGGAGTATTCCACATCTTTTTATGAGTAGAAATCTATAGTTTGAAGAATATCTATATTTATATCTATCTATCTGTCTGTCTGTCTATCTATCTATCCCATTAGATCTACAACGAGGACCTCTGATGTCATTGTGAGCTTTAGGAGGCAATAAGGTGTAATGGATAAAGTATTGCCATTATTACTCAATCTGTCTCTGCCTAAGAGGCAGTGCTATATACCAGTTCCCTTGTTTTCTCTAAGACGTGTATGTAGGCTGCTTTTGTTTATATGGTATGCCTCTTACCAAGTATGGCTTGGCTTAGGAAAATGTCAACGCACGGTTCAGTATTTCAGTCTCCTAAGTTTAAAATATAGGACACAATCTGAACATTAAGCATGTTGCTAGCTTGTTTTGAATGTCATTTCAACAATTGCTGAAGTTTCTATATTGCTCTTAAAAGCCCCACATGTTGGAATTTATTAAAATCATGCGTATGAATAAAGCTAAAATCTGCATCTTTATTTCTGTTTCAGTTTTGTAATCAACAACGAACGATGAAAACTTCCATAGCTGAGATGCTTCACAGAGGGAGGATGCTGTGGATAATTCTTCTAAGCACAATTGCTCTAGGATGGACTACCCCAATCCCCTTGATAGAGGACTCGGAGGAAATAGATGAGCCCTGTTTTGATCCATGCTACTGTGAAGTTAAAGAAAGCCTCTTTCATATACATTGTGACAGTAAGGGATTTACAAATATTAGTCAGATTACAGAGTTCTGGTCAAGACCTTTTAAACTGTATCTGCAGAGGAATTCGATGAGGAAATTGTATACCAACAGTTTTCTCCATTTGAATAACGCTGTGTCCATTAACCTTGGAAACAATGCTTTGCAGGACATTCAAACAGGAGCTTTCAATGGCCTTAAGATTTTGAAGAGGCTATATCTACATGAGAACAAACTAGATGTCTTCAGAAATGATACCTTTCTAGGCTTGGAAAGTCTGGAGTATCTGCAGGCAGATTACAACGTCATTAAACGTATTGAAAGTGGGGCATTTCGTAACCTCAGTAAATTGAGGGTTCTGATTTTAAATGATAATCTCATCCCCATGCTTCCAACCAATTTATTTAAGGCTGTCTCTTTAACTCATTTGGACCTACGCGGAAACAGATTAAAGGTTCTTTTTTACCGAGGAATGTTAGACCACATTGGCAGAAGCCTGATGGAGCTCCAGCTAGAAGAAAATCCCTGGAACTGCACATGTGAGATTGTACAACTGAAGAGTTGGCTGGAGCGTATTCCTTACACTGCCTTGGTAGGCGACATCACTTGTGAAACCCCTTTTCATTTCCATGGAAAGGATCTCCGAGAAATCAGGAAGACAGAACTCTGTCCCTTGTTGTCTGACTCTGAAGTGGAGGCTAGTTTGGGGATCCCCCACTTGTCATCAAGCAAGGAGAACACATGGCCAACTAAGCCTTCCTCAATGTTGTCCTCTGTCCATTTCACTGCTTCTTCTGTTGAATATAAGTCCTCAAATAAACAGCCTAAGCCCACCAAACAGCCTCGAACACCAAGGCCACCCTCCACATCTCAAGCTTTATATCCTGGTCCAAACCAGCCTCCCATTGCTCCTTACCAGACCAGACCACCTATTCCCATTATATGCCCTACTGGGTGCACCTGTAATTTGCACATCAATGACCTTGGCTTAACAGTCAACTGCAAAGAGCGGGGATTTAATAACATTTCAGAACTTCTTCCAAGGCCACTGAATGCCAAGAAACTGTACCTGAGTAGCAATCTGATTCAGAAAATATACCGTTCTGATTTTTGGAATTTCTCTTCTTTGGATCTCTTGCATCTGGGGAACAATCGTATTTCTTATGTTCAAGACGGAGCCTTCATCAATCTACCTAACTTGAAGAGCCTCTTTCTCAATGGCAATGATATCGAGAAGCTTACACCAGGCATGTTTCGAGGCCTGCAGAGTTTGCACTACTTGTACTTTGAGTTCAATGTCATCCGAGAAATCCAGCCTGCGGCCTTCAGCCTCATGCCCAACTTGAAGCTGCTATTTCTCAACAACAACCTGCTGAGGACCCTGCCAACAGATGCCTTTGCAGGCACATCCTTGGCCCGGCTCAACTTAAGGAAGAACTACTTTCTCTACCTTCCTGTGGCTGGTGTCCTGGAGCACTTGAATGCCATTGTTCAGATAGACCTCAATGAGAATCCTTGGGACTGCACCTGTGACCTGGTCCCCTTCAAACAGTGGATTGAAACCATCAGCTCAGTCAGCGTGGTGGGCGATGTGCTTTGTGGGAGCCCTGAGAACCTCACCCACCGTGATGTGCGCACCATTGAGCTGGAAGTTCTCTGTCCAGAGATGCTGCGTATTGCACCAGCTGGAGCATCGCCAGCCCAGCCTGGAGATTCTCACCTTCTTGGGGGGCCAACAAGTGCATCACCTTATGAATTCTCTCCACCTGGGGGCCCAGTGCCACTTTCTGTGTTGATTCTTAGCTTACTCGTTCTGTTCTTTTCGGCAGTCTTCGTTGCTGCAGGCCTCTTTGCCTATGTGCTCCGACGACGCCGGAAGAAGCTGCCCTTTAGAAGCAAGCGGCAGGAAGGTGTGGACCTAACTGGAATCCAAATGCAATGCCACCGACTTTTTGAGGATGGTGGAGGTGGTGGTGGTGGAAATGGAAGCGGAGGCCGACCAACTCTTTCCTCTCCAGAGAAGGCCCCTCCTGTGGGTCATGTATATGAGTACATCCCCCACCCAGTCACCCAGATGTGCAACAACCCTATCTACAAGCCTCGTGAGGAAGAGGAAGTAACTGTTTCATCAGTCCAGGAACAAGGGGCTGCAGAACGTGGAGGTCCTGGGACACAGCCACCAGGAATGGGCGAGGTTCTCCTAGGAAGTGAGCAGTTTGCTGAGACACCCAAGGAGAACCACACCAATTACCGGACTTTGCTGGAAAAAGAGAAAGAGTGGGCCCTGGCAGTGTCCAGCTCCCAGCTCAACACCATAGTGACGGTGAACCACCATCACCCTCACCACCCAGCAGTTGTTGGGGTTTCTGGAGTAGTTGGGGGGACTACGGGAGACTTGGCTGGGTTCCGCCACCATGAGAAGAATGGTGGGGTGGTGCTCTTTCCTCCTGGCGGAGGCTGTGGTGGTGGCAGTATGCTACTAGACCGAGAAAGGCCACAACCAGCCCCATGCACAGTGGGATTCGTGGACTGTCTCTATGGCACAGTGCCCAAATTAAAGGAACTGCATGTCCATCCTCCTGGCATGCAATACCCAGACTTACAGCAGGACGCCAGGCTCAAAGAAACCCTTCTCTTCTCGGCTGGAAAGGGCTTCACAGACCATCAAACCCAAAAAAGTGATTACCTCGAGTTAAGGGCCAAACTTCAAACCAAGCCGGATTACCTCGAAGTCCTGGAGAAGACAACATATAGGTTCTAACAGAGAAAGAAAGATAAATTAGTGTGTGTTTCCCCCCCAAAAAAGAAAAAGAAAGTAAAAGAAATATATCTCGTTCTCCCTTTACACTTTCCCCAGTAACTCCTTCTTCAACCTTCCCTACCCTGAACAGAACTGAAACCGCATGATAACTAGAGAATACAGATGTATGCTCTCCCCCTTTCAAATGTGATTTGGAGGAAGGGCCATACTCAGATCATTAATCAATGAAGTGCCTTCGCAGACTTTTGCCAGCAAATGTTATCATTATTTTTTTATACTGAAACTTGAGACTTTGACTGTGCCATGTATAAGATATATTAGGGATCGTTGTATTGATCCTAATGAAGTAAAATTCAATGTGTCTTTTTTTTTTTTTCCCCCTATTTTTTTTTTTTTTTTAAGCTGTAGTTTTGTTTGAAAGGGAGGGGGGATACAAAATGACATTGTGGCTTTCTTTCCTCTTCCCCTCATGGCACAGATTCTGTACATGTATTAACAATGCAGTTTGCTGCATGCCTGGAAACTGCAAGACAGGGAGGGAGGGGGCGGGTCTTGCTCGAATGTTCTCACTCACTCTCTTCTCTCACATACATACCCACTCGCAAACTGCAAATCCCTGCACACAGGTCCCTAAACCTGCAGCCTCCTTTTTCTGGTGCAGATACATAGGTACACACGAGCACGTGTACACACACACACACACATGTGTGCACGTGCGTGCGCATACTTTACTCCCATTCAACCCAGTCTGATTAGTTTGGGTTAGATCCATTCCTCTCCTCTCCATTCCACCTGCCCTTCACCTCTAGTTTTTAGCTCACAGCATCTTTCCTTACCAACCTGGGGGAAGTTACATTCTAGGCTGGATCCTACTAAAGTGGAGACCCGGTGGTTTAACAGCCAGAGGCATACACCTAGGGATGAGCACCCTCTTTGTAACATTTCATCCTGATGCCAAGATTTTTTGGAGAACGTCTGCACTTTCTTATATATATATACATATATATATATATATAAAATATTAAAAAAAAAGCAACTGGGTATATATCACTAACAGCTTTGTAGGAAGCACTTTTAATGTTTTCTCTCTCACACACAAAAGATTCAAAAGAAATGTGCATATATTTATTCTGTAATTTCAGTGATTATAAATTGTAAAGGTAATGTTTAATCATTGTATAGTGATTATGCGTCTGGTATAGCTTTCCTAATAAAAAGTTTTTGAAAACATAATACATTATATATAGAAGATACAAAGCTTGAACCTTAAGCTCCAGCTATGCCATGCCTTTCTTGCTCCCCTTTAAAAAAAAATCTTTCTTTTTACTTGTTATACAGAAAGCTAGTTTATTAACAAGTTTGATGCACTGTGATGTTGATAAATCTTATAACCCCCACTCCATACTGTACCAGGATACTACTGGGACTTTAAACTGTCTGATTTATAGTTCCTGTCTTTCTCTTGGATTATGAATTTCCAACTTAATGCCCCAATGAAGCAGGAAGAAACTGGGAAAAAATAAAGTATCTAGATTTTTAAGAAGTACAGGATTAATTAGATCAGATAATCAAGGCCTCATACATCTTAAATAGTAAATGACATCAAGGAAAATGAAAATTGCTATTCTTAAAACAAAACACTACAATTACACATCCACACATATCACTCAATCAAAATCAAAGTCCCTGGGGTCAATTTGACTGTCAGAATCCTGTTTGCTGTGAAAGTTGTCACTATTATATTTGGCTGCTGTTTCTTCCTCCTATTTACTTCACTGACTGGCCCCAGCTATGTTTGAATTAAGACAGGATGCTAATTGAATTTTTCTTTCTGTTATAACATTAAAATGCTGTAAAATTAATTAGCTTGACAAGAATCCAAGTTATGATCCATTTATATGTGAGTGAAACCAAAGAAAATCGGAGTTTTCATGTACCAGTGTCTTGTTTGTGGAGGAACCTAAACTGATAAAAACCTGAGAGCTTTGAGGAAGGCACTTATCTCAGTCGGCCAGTAGAGGGGAGCAGAGCTCCAGCGATTAGAGCTGCCGAATTCTGCAGCAAAACCATTTTTTTTCTGCTAGTGCTTCCTCAAGCTGCTGTTGGTAGAAATAATCATTACGTGTTGAATGTAATTCACCGCAATTCACTGATGCCTTACATCACATTTTCCCCCACATTTTTTGCTAGAATAAAACTAGCAGCTTCCAAAGCTGTGTGGCTGATACACTACTAAGTCACTGTACTTTAAAAATGCCCCATGAATGTCTAGAACATACTTATTTATCTGTTGAATTATACTTGGGAGCTCTGGTAGGGTAGTGCCTAAGGCACTGGACTGCTAACCAGAGGGCTGGCGGTTCAAACCCACCAGCAACTCCTCGGAAGGAAGATGGGACAATATACTTCCGTAGTGATACTGCCTCGGAAACCCAAGGAGGGATCGCTATGAGTTGGTCCGACTTGCCGGCACATAACAACAACAACCAACGAATTATACTTGGGTGTCAGCAAAGGTATACATACAAATGCAAAATACAAGCATATCAATATAAAAATGCAACTTTCAGGGCTGCTTTGCATTTGACGTGTTGTTCCTAGAGGTTTTTTCCTCAATTATTTAAGCTGTGTTTTGAAATTATTTCAGATGAAAAAAAGCCCATAGGAAAAACTATATCTCCACATACAGTATTGAGTTGAAGCTTTTCTTATGGAAGAGGGTCAGACCCACTACTAAATGGCTGTCATTCTTTTTTTTTTTTTCCAACCTTCCCATAAGTCACCATTTTTCTGGTCATCTCATCTTCCTTATTTTTTTTTTTTTTTTTTTCCAACCTTCCCATAAGTCACCATTTTTCTGGTCATCTCATCTTCCTTATTTTTTCCAATCTTCTCTCCCTCCTTCACTTGGATTCTTTTTTAAGGAACAGAATATCAGTGCTATCCTTGAGTATACACCTTCTAAACTAGTGTCTTACCATGTCTGCATTGCTGTTAATAAAATGTTTTGGTGAATGGTCGAAAGCATGTGTATAGAAAAACTCAAAGTGCAAAGCTAGATGCATCTGATAATAATCATCATTTCCTTGGTAACACTGCACACCTTCATAACATGCTATAAATATCAGGTTAGAGTACAATCCCTAATGATCCTGGTGCTTTTGGCATTTGAAAACTGAGTGTCCATAAACAATAACAAATTACAATATAACTTGATAATTATGTTTATATCTTATTTAAATACAGAAAACAAGACTATATTGTCTTACATGTAGGTATAATTTCATCCTCGAATGAGGAATACATTTATTTATTTAGTTAAAATAAATTTGTTAAATGAGAATGGAATTTTTTGTATTAAAGAAGATAATTGTGGCTTCAACAGTTTTCTACCCTCTGTCTAGGCAGTTTGTTTTAACTATGAATTAGAATTAACTTACATTAGCTTTGCTTTATGATACCAGATATGTTTTCTTAAAGTATCATGATTATTGATATAGGTATTATGATTAGAATTTGTTTTATGTTGTTACCGCAGTAAATTTATTTTTATTTTTAAGAAAAGGTTTTATCACTAATTCACTTCAGTATAATGGTCAATTTGACAGAGCAGGTCCAGATCTGACAAATATTTTCTATTATTGCTATTTTATAACTAATTATAGTAATAATATTTGGATATCATAAAACATATTGTAATGTCCCTTACATTAAAAGATGGTTAGTGGGACATAACTAGAACTGAAATATTAGTTTAAGTTCCTAATAATTTTAACATGTTTTATATCATATACTGTGTCAGTTATGTGGGTCCTTTTATGTTTTTATTTAGAAAGATATATGATTTCATCTAATTGCAAAATTCTAAAATACAAGGATGATTATCATCTTATTTTTAATAAAAATGTAGAGAGAGAGTCACAAGGAAAGTTTAATGAGTGCGTTTGAAAAGGTTTTTCATTTGGTATTAAACCCATGATATCTGAAAAAGCAAATTATTTGTGTTTAAGATTTTAAACCTTGATAGTGCAGATGCAAAAGAAAAGCATTTTCCTTAACCATGGCCATGGTAAAGCATTATTTTGCTTTATCTAGTGTAAATTCATTATCCTGTCTTTTTGAATTATGTTGTCAAAGCCAATAAACGTGACTTTTTGAAATAGCTATGAGAAAGGAAACATTAATGTAATGTTTCGCAAAATGGGAAACAAGTGTATGATGAGTCAAGATGAGAGGAAATGGTCAAGAAAGGGCACATCATCTTAAGGAATTTGAGCTAGTTTAATTTGAACTTCGATATTTATAACCTATATTTAGCTCAAAATCCTCTGCTGTGAAAATTCAGGTGAAAAGAACATAAGTATTGCTAAATTAATCATGTAAGTATTCTGTTTAATATACTATAGGCCTTTTAAAAGTAATAGGAGCAATAACATATGTCTAACTGGGCAGTCGTGTGTGTGTGTGTGTGTGTGTGTGTATAGCACTATTATATATGTATATACACTGTATATACATGTATATAGTTTATAATATGCTGAATTATATGTAAATTATGCATTTTTCTCACACGTGTAACAACATCAGTTTTATTCCTTTATCTTGCTTCTGTCTAGCCTTCGTCCAGGTGAAGCTGGATGGAATTTTGAGTCTTCACTTTGGGAATATTCACATGTAAAAAGTAACACTGTAATTACTCTTTCTGAATTTAAAATTCTTTTGTCTTACAGTTTGTTTCATTTTGTTATTTAAATCATAGGGGACAAATCTCAATGTGTGGTTTAAGTTAAATCCTAACAGTAAAGAAACTAATCTCATAAATATGCAACGTAAGTCAAATGGAAAACAAATGCTCCTTTTTTTTTTTTTTCCATTCTAATTCTAGAGTACATTTTATGGATGAAAATTCTTTTAATAGTTTTATTAGTTAGGCAAGACTTTAGTCATTTGTCTAGGTATGTAGAAAAATCAGGTAAAATGGAAGAGAAGTAAAAGATCTGTTTAAGATCTGCACCATCCTACTTTATTTCTTTTAACATCATTTCCCTTTTAAAATGTATAAGGGTGGAGATGCTCATTCTGTATAAAAGCAAAGAGATGATCATTTTTAGACTCTTACATGAAATTTTAGTTGGAGGGGCAGATTCTTCATATGAGGAAGGCAAGCATACACTAGGGGTTGTCAGTTGTGAAAAGGCCATGTTTGGCTTGCTGCTTTAGTTCTGATAGCATTTCCTTCCCAAAATATGATACATATTTTTGATAAAATATATTATTTCCTCTCTTTTACACTGAGATGATTTTTCGCATGATTTTTAAATTCTAACAGATAAAAACACTTGAAGTTGACTTCCAATACAGAGACCCA